GAATCAGAATAATGCGAAATAAAGTCCTTTTCAAAATTAGAATAATTCTGCTTCAGTTTCTTTGTGAATTAACCAAATTTACAGAACCGATTTGTGCAATGATTCCCAAGAAATTTATTCTGATGAATCTCTTAAAAAATCTTTGCACATGTTTAAGACCAAATGAGAAGACATTCTTAAACCGTCTTAGTATTCAAGAGGCTAAAAGCTAGTAATATTTAAACTGTTGTAATGGCTAAAAGAACATTGATTCGTGGCATTTCTTGGGCCTTTCTGGGGGGGTTAATTTGTTTTATTTTCAGCATTTGATGTAGTTTGGTAACGAGCCCATTCTATCACAGACACTCCCGCAGTTTGGAAATGTGCCACTGGTGCTGTTGGTAACATAATGGAAACCAGCAACACTGAATTGTCGAAGTACGTGTGATCTGCCTGCAATACAACTACCTTGCAGTCCTCAAATGATCCCCACTCTATCTGGTTTATTTCTCATAAACATGTTCTACTTTCCTTGCTGCGTCATCTCCAACAGAATAATTACTGACTGTTCTAGGAATGCAGTGGTCTAGTCTAGAACAAGGGAGGCAGCAGGTACCACTCCTAGCAGTCATAAAATTACAACTCCCATTAGGGTCCTTTTAGGCTTAGTAAGCAAGAGGGATTCTCATCAAGTAAGCTTTACCTAACAATTTTACAAGTTTTGTTCCCCTACTTCCCTCCTAAGTCCACATAGTTAATTCCCTCTGCACAAAGCAAGAGCATGTGAAGAGGAGTCTGCTGTCTGTTATATTTGTGTTGATAAATGTGCCAATTTTAATAGATTTTATAATTGGGGACAGAATCACTTCCTTGGCTGTCACTCAAGCAGCCGGAGAGATTTTCTTCTGCTTCTGTTAGCCCCTCAGAGCTAACGGCAGGAGCACTGTGCTTTCACATGCCCATGTTCTCCCTTTCTTAATGAGTTGTACTATAGCTCCTTGAGAAGCACAGAAAAGCCACAATCATGTGCACTCGCAGCTCCAGCACAGAGGATTCTGAATGAGAGGCCTCTGATCGGAGTATTTCCTGGCAAGATAGTGCCAGGAAAAGAGCAGAGGGCGGCTTGCAAAGGCTGCAGTCAGCAGAGCTACATCTTCTGCAAGCGGTGTTTTTAATATACCCACAAAGAAAACATGCAGAAAAAAATATTCTTCTTCTGTCTCCATACAGACCTTACCTGTAAGCTGAAAGCAGCAAGATGAATTGTTAACAGGCGAAGGAAAACCTCTTCAATAAGTCCACTTTGTTGGTTACTACTGTGGCATCGAAATCTGTTTTTTAAATGAAAACTGTCACCTCAAACATTTTTTTAAAGGATCGCTATAGGGTCAGGAACACAAACTTGTATTCCTGACCCTACAGTGCTAAACCCACCATTTAGGTGGCTTTCCCCCCCTTAGCACCCCTATAAAAGTATAAAACTTAGCTTACTTCCAGCACCATGCGGGTCCGCCGGTGCTGGCTCCCCCACCTTTGTGACATGGGAAAGCATTGGATTGGCTAAATTTGGCACAGGACGGGACCAAATGCTGTTTTGGCCAGTCAGGACCTCCTCATACTGATGCAATGTCTCCATACAGAGCGTGGGGACGCTGAATGGCAGAGCTGCTTACTGTGCAGCCCTGAGCCAGGAAACCCCTCCATCTGAGGAGTGGCCACTTGGCGGTGTTCCTAGGGGCAATGTAAACACTGCCTTTTCTCTGAAAAGGCAGTGTTTACATGAAAACACCTGAAGGGAGCTATTATACTCACCAGAACAAGTACATTAAGCTATAGTTGTTCTGGTGACTATAGTGTCCCTTTAATATAATGATCCTTTCATCAGGTTTTGAAAATATATAAATATTTTTGTAAAATATTGTAAAAAAAAGAGAGAGAGAGAGAGAGAGTAAAACCGTCCTGTAGTGCTCTGTACCATGTGACCAAACTGTCACATGATCTGGTGATGTCACTAGGGTCCTTCTACTGGATAGGAACTAACTGCTACCCTTTAAAATATGGCCTGGTCCTTCAGCCATATACATGCACCATGGGTCAGACAGTGTTTGAAAACCAACAGTTAGTCTCTCTGGTCTGTGCTCTGTTTCTGTGCAGAGAGTGACGCAGGAAAGACCAAAGAGACTAACTGTCGGGTTTCCAACATTGTTTGACCAAAGGCCCATGTATCTCGCTGAAGGATCTTATATATTTAAGGACAACTGCAACCTCAACACTATTTCTTATATAATCCTACCTTAGCTTGGATTCTGGGGTGTTCACAGAACTGTTAACGAGGGGAATTGATGCCGCGTGAGACTCAAATGTGGGTTTTTGGTTTTCTGTCTGATTTCTTTTTTTTTTCTTTTTTTTCAATAAGGGCCATTTCAACCAAAAACAGTGTTTGTCTCCCCCCCCCCCTTAACATATGTTGGTTTTATTTCTGCAGCAAAAGAATGGAAATCTTGTGAGGTGGGGGTAGGTGGTCATAGGGAGTAACTGTTTAAAGGGACACTATAGCCATCCAGACCATGAGGACATCCAGCTTCACCCTGGCTCCCTGAAATATTGAATCTTAGTGTGTCCATATGTAGGCTCGCGCCCCCTATGGAAGAGAATGCAGCCATGAAGATTAGGAAGAGGAGAATATGGAAGAGAAGAAGCTGTCAGTATGTGATATATGTTTTCAGTTTTGTTTTTTTGAGCAGAGTGGGTTTAGTTGTTTGTTTTTATTGAGTGGGCACTTTGTTTTCAGTTAGTTTTTTTCAAGCACTAGGTTTTTGATTTAGTGCTGTGGGAGATATAAGTATAACTAACTTACCTGTGCCTGGTACCTGCACTTCTCCCCTCCTATTGCTGGCGACCCGAACAGAGAAATCTGTATTCTGACCAAATCACTGAGCCGTTTCTTCTCTGTAGTAATTGAGACGCTGCCTGCTTGAATGTTGCATGTTTTATGAATTCAAAATACGTGACATTACGCCCGCCCTTTGAGTGACTATGTCATGTAGCCCAGTGGTCCCCAACCTGGTCCTCATAGGCCACCAACAGCCCAGGTTTGTCAGTACCTCCATTTGAATAAAAAAAGGAAATACATAAATCCTGGACTGTTGGTGGTCCACGAGGAATGAGTTGGGGAATGGGGACCACTGACTAGGTAACCTCATATTCAATCAATTTGGAGTTGCATAGATGACGTGAACCAATCAGAAAGTGTTTTAGCCTATATAAAGTTAATATGGGCACTTGTTCATTGCTCTATTGTGGTCTCTGCCTTGATACATGTTAGTGCTTATAGTTAGTCTCTCTTCATATTCTGATATTGTTCTTGGCTTGTATTTGACTTTGTGTATTTCTGGTGTCCTGACCCGGGATGTTTTTTTTTTTTAAAAATGTTTTTATTTCTCGTGTACAAGGAAATGGGGTACAGAAAAGAAAGGGAATGTTCAATGATCACATTTCAGGGTTACATGAACTGTGCATCTATGGTATATGTCACATCACATACATAAACATAACATACATAAACATAAGCATCCCGGTGTTAAACTTAACCGGGGTTGCATCAAGGTCATACCGCAGGGTGTACAATTTCCCTTTAATGAAGGTCGGATAGTAAGAGGTTGTCCCCCTACCGTCTCGGGAATGGTAGTATGTGTGAGTAACCCTGCAATCAGCAAACAACAAACAAACAATAGGGGGGGAGGGGGAGGGGGAAGGGGGGGTTTTATTGACCCTGCCTAGGTCGAGGTAGGTGTTATGTATTTCCTTTTAAGCTCTTTCCGTGATAGACTTATTTGCCATTCCGTGGCTCGCTCTTCCTATCTGACCGCTAAGAGTTCTGTCTTACCCGGGTCTGCCTCTTGGGCGGTTATGTCCTGGTGTTAGTCCAAAACTCTGTCCAGGGTTCCCAAGTCTTAAGGTGTCTATTTCGTTTCCCCATTAACGACCAGTGGATGTCCTCTATCTCCCTCACTCCCTCTACCTTTTGTACCCATTGCTCTATGGTTGGGATGCTAGGTTTACGCCAGTACAGTGGGATCAGGGCGTTTGCCTCCCCTAGCAAAATGTGCAGTAAGTGTTGCCTGTGCGATTCCTTAAATGTACGTGGCCAGCCGAGGAGTACTTGGGGTGCCTCTAGGCGGATGGTTGGTGCTAGTATCTTTGTAATCTCAGAGATTATGGTTCGCCAGAAACGCTGAATGTCCCGGCAGCTCCACCAAATGTGTAACATATCCCCTCTGCTGGCTGAGCATCTCCAGCAGATATTGTCAAGTGAAGGGTTTATAGCATGCAACACGGCTGGTGTTCTATACCATCTAGTAACCCGTTTATAAAAGGTCTCTTTGCGCGTGACACTGATCGAGGTTTTGAGACCCGTCTCCATAATACTGGACCAGTCCTTGTCCGAGAGATGTATGTGAAGGTCTGTCATCCATTTCTGTTGGAATGTGGGAGTCGTGGGTTCTTTGTCTGCCGACTGAAGGATGCGGTATATTTTAGATAGGGGCCGTTTACGGTCGCCCGTTGGGCCACAAAGGAGTTCAAAGTGCGTGTCTCCTCTCTTGGTCCAGAGGGGGAGGACGTGTTTCGTCAGGAAACCCTTAAGCTGTGCTCTGGTCATAATGTCCAGGAGAGTGGCATGTCTCTGTGTTACTTGTCCGTCTTTAAATTGAGGTGGGTCATCCTTAGTTAGTAGTTCAGTAATGACCGGTGAATGCGTTCCCGTGAGGCGGGCAAGTGAGGGCCCTCCCTGTCCTCCCTGGAAGTCAGGATTATAGGCCGTGGGGAAAAATCTAGAGATTCCAGGGGACAGTCCCCACTTATCTTTGTGCCGTCTCCAGATTGTGAGCGTGTTGTGAATGAGTGGATGTCTTGAGGGGGTCAGGGATTTGAGTTGGCATGTTTGCCACGGGAGGGTCGATAGAGGGACCGGTACAAAGCTCTGTTCTAGATCGTACCACGATCTTTTCTTACTTGTGTCTGTCCACTCTTTTAGTCTGGTAAGTAAGACTGCTACGTAATATTTATATATGTGAGGTAGTCCCAGGCCCCCCCTGTCCGTGGTGGACGTCAGTGTGGACAAGGCAAGTCTTGCCGGTTTGTTTCCCCAAATATATTTAACGAAGATAGTCTTCATTCGTTTAAAGAATGACCCTGGGAGTGGAATAGGCAAGGCCTGAAGTATATATAGGATTTTTGGCAGTACCATCATCTTTAAGACATTGATCCTGCCCATTAGGGAGATATGGGGTAGATCCCATCTGTGCAAATCATTTTTAACGACCTCTATGAGGGGAGGGTAGTTGATGTTGTATAGTTCCGTGGTATTAGTAGTGAGTCGTACCCCCAAATAAGTCAGGCCTGACCGTGTCCAGGGAAATGTGTGGGTTCGTTGAAGGGTATTTTGCAATGCTGCGGGTACAGAGATTCCTAGGATCTCGCACTTATCCGCATTGATCTTAAAATTTGATAGTGACCCGAAGGTTTGGATCTCCGACTGTATGTGAGGTAGGGTTTTTATTGGGTCCGTGAGTGTGAACAGAACGTCGTCTGCAAATGCAGAGACCTTCACCTCGCCTCCGTGGTACCCAAATCCGTGTATGTCTGTATTAGATCGGATTGCTGTTAGGAATGGTTCCATGGCTAGGACAAATAATAGAGGAGATAGAGGGCAGCCCTGGCGTGTGCCATTGGAGATGAGGAAGGGTGTGGACAGTTGGCCGTTTACTCTGACTCTGGCTGAGGGGCCTCTGTATAGAGTCTGTATCCAGTTCAGGAGTCTTGGGCCGATTCCCAGGACCTCCAGGACTGTGAACAGGTAGGTCCAATCAACTCTATCAAATGCTTTTTCAGCATCGATTGCCATTAAAAGTGTCGGTGTTCTATTGGTAGTAGCTCCATGGATAACATTTATAATTTTTGTGGTATTGTCCCGGGCTTCACGTCCCGGCACAAAGCCGGCCTGGTCTGGATGGATCAAATTCGGCAATAACGGCTTAAGCCTGTTCGCTATCATTTTCGCCATCAATTTGAGATCTAAGTTTATAAGAGATATGGGCCTATAGCTGCCACATTTTGTGGGGTCTTTGCCTGTTTTAGGGATAATAGTTATCGAGGCGCAGAGCATGGGGGGTGGGAGTACCGTGTTGTGGCTGAGGCCATTCAATGTGTGTAGAAAATGAGGAGTTAGTTCCTGTGTTAATGTTTGGTAGTACCTTGCCGTATGCATCTCCTGTGTGGTGTATGATTCAGCCCATTGCTTGTCAGTATTTTCTATTTCCTCCTCCATGGCCTGTACCCTAGCTCCAAGGTGCTGTACCTCTGCACTGACCGTCTGTAATTTTTCCCCAAAGCTATCCTCCAGTTTCTGAAACATAGCTGCAATATCTGACCTGGAGGGTAGTTGGTGTAGTAATGCCCTGATCTCTTGATCCTCATTAGATCCGTCTGAGGCCGTCGGGCTGGATGGCCGGCTGCCGCGCACATGTGCCGCGGGCGCCATTTTGTCCCGTTTGTGTGGGTCTGTGTGATCGCCGAACAATCTCCTCAGGGATGATTTGGCTGACGGCTGGTCGGTCGCGGGGGGGTTCCCCAACGTGCTGCGCTGTTTTTTTGTCGCCATTTGCGTTAGTGTGTTGCCGTTTTACCCCTAAGTCTCCCGGTCAGGGCTGGAGCTCAGCGCTCATGCGGCCATGCACCTCGGCGTCCAGACCACGCCCCCCCCCGGGTTGTTTCTGACTGAGTATTTCTGATATCCTGAATCGGCTCGTTATTTAGTTTATCGGTATTTCTAATATCCTGACCGTGGCTATTTCTGACTTTGTCTTTATCCTTATTAACGTTAAGTCTGGTCACGGTAAGGCCCAGTAATTAGACTATCCAATACCTGTGTTTGTGGGATTCGCCATTCCTGGAAGTTGGGGTGCAACCACTTGACAATTAGATAGTCACAATGTATGTGGGTGGAAACTGCTCTCCAGTGAAGTATACATGTCTAGCTTTTAGGTTAACTTATAGGTATTTGATAATTTATATTTTGTGGGATTTTTAAAGGGACACTAAATGCACCATAACAACTACATGTAAGTTAAGTTGTCATGGTGCCAGGAGGCTCACAGGTGCACTCTTACCGCAAGGAGTTAATCCGTTCATGAATGGTGTAAACCTAAAGTGAGCCTCCAGCCATGATCTCAACTCCAGTTTCAGGAAGGGTGGAATGCCGCCGAGCATGGGGGCCGCTTATCGTTTGAGAGCAGTCAGTTGACGCTATCAGCCAATCAGTGACCCCCCCCCATTCACAAAACTGGCTTAAAAAGAAATGTACCTTTTATGATTTAACCCCTTGAGGTAAGAGTGCATCTGGGGGTCTCCTGGCACCATAACAACATTATTTAGAATACGTCTCTAAGGTGCCTAAGCTGTCTCTTTAAGAAATTAATGCAGCTCTACCACTGCATATTAGGTTGTGGGGTGAAGGTACATTTATAAACATAACCCTATAACCCTATTAAGTACTTAAGTTATTATATTTGCAGTTGTATCTTTATTATTGTAATTCTATCACAGTAACTTAACAATATCCTTTATGTATTTGTGCTTTTTAGACTTTATACATGATGGCAAAGGAATGTGTTGTTTTAGATTATACATTGTATTATACATGCTTTACATTAGTGTTTGAGATCCAATTACAATTTGTTCATGAAGGATGATACCCTAATTTTTTATAGTGATTCGGACTCTGTAAGAATCCTTTAGGAACTTCCTATAAACCTTTATTAGTGGGCAGCGAGGAGCTATTACATGAAATGGATTTGCTGTCCACTCATTTGTCTACATCTTGGCTGTGTAATCACTGTGGATACCTTTCACAATGATCCAATCTTGATAAAGTGTGTTTGAACAGACAAAATGCATCAACATGCTTTTAGTATCGTGGGCACTATCTAATGTGCCCCCCTTGAATGAACGGACATAGCTCCTACTGCAGCTTACATTATCATCTCATTTTCTCTGGACTGTTTGTTCATTGCTGTCTGTTTACCTATCTCTGACTGCTTACCCTTCTGATCTGCACCTGAAAAGGTGAGCCTACCCATATAAACTCGCCATCCGCCCCTAAGCTTCCAGCTTGATTCATTACTGCCCACTGTCTAAAGATCCAGCCCCGGGACACAACTCTGACTTACTGAGCCTCTGGACACTGGGACACAACTCTGCCTATATATAACATTTACCACTTTCAGTATATGTGGTCTACAGCTTTTGCATATTTCCTATAACAGTGCAGACTTCATCCAGTCTATTTAATGTGTTTCTGTGCTTCAGTGGCTGATTTTTATAGATACTACGGGTTCTATATAGGAAAGTATGATTTCGATCCTTTTTTGTGCTTCCTTTACTTTTTTCTCTCCTTCCTGGGGAGAATGTGTTTGTGTATACATAATGTTTCTTTTTATCTGTTTTAATATTATTGTTACAAATTACAAAGGCTTAGTGCCTTTGATTATTATGCGATATTTATCTATATATGCATCTGTGTCTAATGACCAACCTTATTTGATACTTTGCTCCACTTGTTACAATCTATTTATTTAATTATTTTTTTAATGCAATAAATGTATCTTTTAATGTTACTGGTATCTGACATGGTATTTTGTGCTACTATCCCTATTTATATTTTGATTACACATAATCACAGACACACAAAATCACAGACCTACACACATAAACACAGACATACAAACAATCACAGACATATGCAAATATAATCAAAGTACAGAAACACCAAGGCATAGTCACAGCCACACACAATCATAGACAAACACACACATAATCACAGACAGAAACACATAATCATAGACATACAATCCCAGACTTACACATAATCACAGACATACACACACAATCACTCATACACGCACACAATTTGTATTCATTTATTATGTGGTTCGTCCAGCCTTCCTATCTTTCTCTCGAAGGGCTGGAGTGGATCTGCTCCATGGTGGCCAGTGATTACCTGCTGTGACTACCGTGCTCTCCCTGCACAGGTCCCATGTGCGCCCTGTAGTGATGCAGATGCCAGGATGACGTCATATCCCGGCACAGCACACACAAAAAGCTGTGCAGTGAGAGCACAGAAAGTAAAGAGCTCCTTTGCTGTACATATACCAATATTCTTAGGCATAGGAGGTAGGTGCCTGCCGGGTGGGTATGCAGGTGCCTTCTTTGCCATGAAAGAGTGCACTATGAGCACTGGTGCTCTAGGTGGAGGGAGGGGCACACGTTGGGGTGGGGGTGGAGGGGGAGAGCAATAATCTAGATGGGACAATTGCCCCGCCTTCCTCCCCTGTAACAGTTTCATGGGTAATGGGTATGTACTAAAATTGCTTGCACTTCAGTTTTTTAAACCAGTATGTATAATGAAAGACTTTAAGTGTTTTATGGGTTATGTATATAATAGTTAAATAAAGTCTTATACTTATATACAATATGTATACCAGTCCGAGAGATCATTATCTGTAATTGTTTCCACTCGTTTTTTTTACAAGTTAATTACCATTTTATCCTTAAAAATATTAGTACGTTTTGTCTATAATAGAGATGGCCAAGGCTGAATTGTAAAATGAAGATGGATGATTTAAGCTTTAGGTTTGAGGACAAAGGAAAATAGAAATATTGCTGGTCGGTGAACTTTAATTAACAGGAATGCAGTGGTACTCTGATTTGAATGGACTTATGGATTTGGGATAATACGCAGGTGACCTTTTTGTTTTGGTTTAGTTTATAGATTTGGGCAGATGAATACTTTTCAAGGTTGAACTTGATCATCTTTAGTCTTATTGTAACCTAGATTACTATGTTATTATAGCCACTGTTGCTGCCCAATGGTAATGGGAGTTTGTGCACAGGTCTATGTTTTGTGTTTTTATTATGCAATTGTATCACACAGCATTGTTACACTGCTCCCATTCATACCCTGTGAGGGGTTGAGTAGTTTGTAGGGAATTCATAGAAATACCTTCTTCTGTCTCATTACAGATCTTATCTGTAAGCTGAAAGCAGCAAGGTGAAGTGTTAGCAGGTGAAGGCAGACCTATTAGATGAGTCCACTATATTGGTTACTGCTGTGGTATCAAAATCTGTTATTTAAAGGACAACTGTCACCTCAATACCATCTTTTAATATAATTATCCCTTCATGAAGTTTTGAAAAGGAAATAAATAATTTAATAAAGTATATGTAAAACAAATGAGAAAAACCTTTAAAATATGACAGGATCCTTCAGCCATATACACACACCTTGGGTCAGACAGTGTTTGGAAAACAAATGTTAGTCTCTATGGTCTTTCTTGATTCACTCACTGCCCAGAATCAGGAAGATCATAGAGGGCTGGCAGCATCAAGAAGGGAGGTCTCAGATCTAGGACAGGATTCAGGTCTTTTCTATAAATCTTAAAGGGACACAGGGGCGGACTGACCGGTCGGGCACTTCGGACACGGTCCGAGGGCCCGGCCGGGAGGGGGGCCCGCCGCCAGGGCCGCCTTCAGGGGGCCCGGCGGCAGGGCTGGATTGGGGGCGGCATTTGGGGACTGCAGGTGCCACCGGGTGGCAGCCTCGCCGGTCCGGCGGCATTCCTCTCACTAACACTGGAGGAGGAGCATGTGTCT